TGGGGAGGGGTCTCCCCTCCCCAGATAACTTATTTGTTTCTGAATTTGGTATTTAAAGTCGGGGAGGGGGGGGGGTCTAAACTGACGAAGAAATGTACAAACCAAGGCTTATCCAAACCAAATTTTACATGCAAAAATAGCGAATTTCAAACTTGCCGCCGCCGGACACGTCAAAGAAGACGACAAGTGACGTAGAACTCTTTTCTATATACGCATAATTTTTAAGTACCCTATAAGAAAATTAATTTCTCTACTTTTCTCCCCTCGACAGATAATTTGTTTCTGAATTTGGTATTTTATGTCCATAATACATAACATTTAACTTTTAAAAACATAAAATTTAACTTTTCGGTAAAGTCAGAGAAAGCGGCCCGCGTTTATTTCCATGCGCGCACTTTTACGTCTTAAATCGATGCCTATGCCTAACCCGAACCCTAAATCGATCCCTATGCCTAACCTTAACAAAGTCAACGTGGGCCGCTAAATCTGAAACAGCCAACTTTTCTTTTAATTTTCGTTAATTATTCACATGAAAACTTGTTCCACCTCCCCAGTCGTTTCATAACGAGTTTTGCAATAATTTTTTGCCCCCATCTTTGTTGACAATTCACGTGACTCCACGTGACTTCACGTGTTGTGTCAACCGAGATGGCGGCCATGATGGGAATACCCGGGGCGAGCTCTCATCATTTACCATAAGATTCATTTCCATGTTTGGAAGTGCGGCTAATTATGATATTATTACCCATGACGTCATTTGCTTATTTATTTAAAATTTGTGCAAGGAAAGGCAGGAGTCATTCCCCTTTGTTGATATTGTTGTTAATTTTATTGGATGAAGTGTCGGAAGTGGTGGCGGCGAAGGAATATTTTAATAACCGGTTGGAACAAGATTTCGTGTGAATAATTAACGAAGATTCAAAGAAAAGTTAAATTTTGTGGTTTTAAAACTGAAATTTTATGTTTTTGGAATTCATGCAGAGAGTGTGGAATTGTCAGAATGTTAGAAATATTGATGAAAAATAGAGAAATTAATTTTCGTATATGGTACTTGAAAATCATGCGGATCTAGAAAGGTGTGATTAAATATTACGTCACTGTCGTCTTATTGTGCTCCGGTGTCCGGCGGTAAGTTCAAAATATCCAAAATTGTCATGGGGAGGAGCAGTTCGACTCATATCTATATGAATATATGTGGCGACGCTCGTGTGGCACTAAAGATCAAATGAGGGAATTTTTAAATGTCATAAAAATTGTGTATCCGCCCCATTTACGAGATCTTGCTTCGTAAAGAGTGAGTAAAATAACGAATTATCATTTGAAAATTTCATTGTTTTTTGTAGCTTTTTAAAATCGTCCATTACCATGCATTTCTGAATTTTAGGGTTAAGGTTAGGGTTTAGGGTTTATTGTTAGGGTTAGGTTTAGGGTTAGGTTTAGGGTTAGGTTTAGGTTTAGGGTTAGGTTTAGGGTTAGGTTTAGGGTTAGGTTTAGGGTTAGGGTTAGGTTTAGGGTCAGGGTTAGGTTTAGGGTTAGGGTTAGGTTTAGGGTCAGGGTTAGGGTTAGGGTTAGGTTTAGGGTTAGGTTTAGGGTTAGGGTTAGGGTCAGGGTTAGGTTTAGGGTTAGGTTTAGGGTTAGGTTTAGGGTCAGGGTTAGGGTTAGGTTTAGGGTCAGGGTTAGGGTTAGGTTTAGGGTTAGGTTTAGGGTTAGGTTTAGGGTCAGGGTTAGGGTTAGGTTTAGGGTTAGGGTTAGGTTTAGGGTTAGGTTTAAGGTCAGGTTTAGGGTCAGGTTTAGGGTCAGGGTTAGGTTTAGGGTTAGGTTTAGGGTTAGGTTTAGGATTAGGGTTAGGTTTAGGGATAGGTTTAGGGTTAGGGTTTAGGGTTTAGGATCCAGGTTAGGGATTTGCGCCATCAAATTTTTGCTCATTTTTCAAAAATTTCAAAAAAAAAAATTTAAATTTTACTCGTTTTTTACAATTTTTTTTAAAAAATCATTTTTCTTAAATTTCAAAATTTAATAGTTTTTTACAATTTTTTTAAAATTACAAAACCAAATTTTTCGTTGATTTTTTATTTTTTTCCGAAAATTTTTTTTTCTTCCATTTCTTTACATTTTACATTTTCTTTAAAATATTTTTCACAGATTACTATATATTTGTGTGTTTTCCTATCTTGAAAATTAAATTTTCTTGTAATATTGCTTATTTTCGATCTTTCGGTAAGTTTTTTGATAAAACGCATTCTTCCCAACCGTTCCCTTTTTGTACAATACGTGTCTTTGCACTACTTTTTTTTTTTGGGTCGGCCGCCATCTTGGTTGACATGATCCGTGACCTTCTCACGTATCATGTCAACAAAGATGGCGGCCATGCTTGGGAAACCCCGGGTACCACTCTCATAATTTACCGGAAGTGCTAGATATATCTTCTTAGAATTAACTTTAAGTTTTTACAAATTCCAGACAGAACTTGAGCAGATGTTAAAGAACGCCAAAAATCGCCTGACTGTTCTTACCTCAAAAATTGAGAGTAGTCCCTCTTCAAATGGCAGCAAAAGCAGGACCAGTACGAAACAAACATGAACATTTTAAACTCCTCTTCTTTTCAACAAAGTCTCAATTTCAAACCTTTTAATTATTTTAAATGGCAACATGATTGAGATAATTTTTTAAACATTTTTAATGTTTGCACTTTTAGCAAAGGTTTAAAGTTCACAAAATCAATTTTTTAACTACAATAGTTTTTATACCAAATTATTTTGCAATAACGTTTTTAATGTTCGTTGGATTTAATATAAGAATAAATTGTATATTAATAAACATTACATTTTTATAAAAACTGAGTTGATTTTTTAAATGAATTATGCAATTTTTAAGCTACCATATTCTAAAAAATAATAACCTAGGAGTGACGTTTAAATTACAGACACTTCATTTTGATTAACTGGAAGACAAAGAAAATGGAACGCTATCATTGAGATTATTTAGTGAGGAAACACGTTTACAATACAAGCCTCTTTTCAATGATTGCGATGCTTTCCAATAAATTTGTTATTAACAATCAAATAGTAGAACAAGTTATGTAAAAGCTTGAATTAAAAGACAGAACAATAAGGTGTGAACATTTTGGCTGAGAGCCTTCTTCAGGGAACAGGACATATGAAAATATGACAAGAAACAGAGCAAAGTAATAAAACTCTTATAGATATCCTCTGTTGTTCCCAGAAGGATTTTTTCAAAACCAAAAATTACAGGAAGGGAAAGAATATATATATTGGTACTCTGAAAAATAAGGTCCAGATACATTGTTCTACTATTTCATTCAAACAGCTTGAACGCAGTCCTTAAACCAAATTCTCACAGCGTTGTCACGAAATTCTTATTGTACGTGAATGCAATGAAATAATTTTAATCTCTTGGTAGGTAACTATCGAAATACATGCACAATGACTTCATTTAACCCAGAAATTGGACCAAAACATACACTTTTAACCCACACCTAAAATGAAAATCCAAAGCTGAATGTTTAACTTTTGTAAGCAATTAATGGAGGTTATAAATTTAGTATGGCTCCCCAAGATCATGTGAAGTTTATTAGAGAGCATGGGGATGAATCTATCCTAAAAACACATGTAGATTCATTCAAAATGATGCAAAAATTGATATTAATGTTCCTATGGTTAAAGTAAGATGACTTTGCATTGGATTTTAAAGAAATTATACCCGGACTAATAATTCTAAAGTTGCAGTCGGACAGTAACAATGAATTTACCTATATTTATATGCATTTAGCATATTTTTAAGCTAATGGTTCTAAAATTTACATTCTAGACTGAGCTAAAACGAATAGTTCAGGTGGACTTGCTTCATGTTGATCTTCAATAATTTGTTTTAGCTGGACCTGCCATTTTATAATTTTAAATTATAATTTTAAGTTTAACTGCAGTTATAGTGGCACATAGAGCTATTTTTTCTCGGTGGACGTGCAAGTAGTTCTAAAACTATCAGTTTAAGATAGACAATTGAATAAATGGTTCTAAAACTATTAGTTTTAACCTTTCAACAAGTGGTTCTAGAACTGTTTCTAAGGTGGACCTGCAACAAGTGGTTCAAGAACTGTTTGTTTAGATGGTCCTAGCAACAAAAAAAATGGGGGGGGGGGGGGGGTTTTTAAGAAATTAGTTTTTTGTGGACCTGCAACATTTGGTTCTAAAAGTGCAAAAAAAAAAAAGGGGGGGGGGGGGGGGGTGTTCTTAAGCAATTAGTTCTATGTGGACCTGCAACATTTGGTTCTAAAAGTGCATAATTCTGATGGACATGTGTCTAATCTGTACTGTTGTCTCAACGTCACATCACCTGGTTGCCATTCTTGTGATGGCTTGCAAGTGGTTTTTAATCTCTGTGAAATATCAGCATTTTATTTTTATTTATGTCATGAATTTTTTAAAGAAATAAACAAACTGAATTTTTAACACATCTTTTATACATATTCATTAAAATAATTTTTTGTTCAAACCTCAATATATTATATTGTTATTTTTTTAAATTTGAATTATTTGTAGATACTGTAACACCTATAAATTAATCAGTTGAATTTTAAGACATTTGCCATTCTCCAAGATTGACTAATTAATCTTTCATAATCACAGTTAGCTTTTTAAATTAAATTTTTAACAATTATTTTTAACAAATAATTAATTTAAAGCATGGAAACGCAACAAGATACACATATCATGCTAGATTTTTTTGTTCAAAGTACATTTCGACTATTAATTTTTCTTAAAAAGAAAATGCTCTTTACACCAGCCATCAAATTTTGTAGATTACCTACAACTAAAGAAAATACACTTAAAAAGAAAGTTTGATATTAATTGGGGTCTACCAAAAAACCTGTGAAATATATTCTAACCTCAAGAAAGCTCCCTTTGGTCCTCAGTATCTGAGCAATGGCTACAAGAGGAATGGGAAGGAACCAAACGACTGCAATGAACCATCCGAATGCTATCCCAGCTGAAGTGAACTTGTAACCTTCAAAGGTAGGGGCTTCGTAACTCACCAGTGATGTTACCAGCACAACCTGGCATCGACACAGGTCATAATAATTCTTGCAATACGGTACAAACATTAAAAAAAAAAAAAATTCAAATTTATTTTCACATTCAAGTTTGCTTAACCTTACAAGTACAGTAATATAATTAAAACCGATAGAAAATAAAAATATGCTGTTGCTATTTCAACATGGATTAATTGATTAAAAGTTGTTTTTTTTTTTCTGAAACAATAACTGTATAACTTACTATGAGCAGAGCTGGTGTGATAAATCTCCATAAAATATTAAACATGTAAGGAGGCCTATACCCCATCATTCTCGTCACATCATCCATAAAGTTATCTGCTCCTAGATAGGTTAGCACAAATAAATATCAATTATGTTTTTTAATATGCCTCAATGTTACAAATTAGTGTTTATATGGAGCCCCAAAAGTTACACATTAGTGTTTTTTATGGAGCCCTCATTGTTACAAATTAGTGTTGATATGGAGCCCCAAAAGTTACAAATTAGTGTTGATATGGAGCCCTCATTGTTACAAATTAGTGTTGATATGGAGCCCTCAATGTTACAAATTAGTGTTGATATGGAGCCCTCAATGTTACAAAATAGTGTTGATATGGAGCCCTCATTGTTACAAATTAGTGTTGATATGGAGCCCTCATTGTTACAAATTAGTGTTGATATGGAGCTCTCAAAGTTACAAATTAGTGTTGATATGGAGCCTTCAATGTTACAAATTAGTGTTGATATGGAGCTCTCAAAGTTACAAATTAGTGTTGATATGGAGCCCCAAAAGTTACAAAATAGTGTTGATATGGAGCCCTCATTGTTACAAATTATTGTTGATATGGAGCCCTCATTGTTACAAATTAGTGTTGATATGGAGCCCTCATTGTTACAAATTAGTGTTGATATGGAGCCCTCATTGTTACAAATTAGTGTTGATATGGAGCCCCAAAAGTTACAAATTAATGTCGATATGGAGCTCTCAAAGTTAAAAATTAGTGTTGATATGGAGCTCTCAAAGTTACAAATTAGTGTTGATATGAAGCTCTCAAAGTTACAAATTAGTGTTGATATGGAGCCTTCAATGTTACAAATTAGTGTTGATATGGAGCTCTCAAAGTTACAAATTAGTGTTGATATGGAGCCCTCGATATTACAATTAGTTGAATTACTGTTGATATGGAGCTCTCAAAGTTACAAATTAGTGTTGATATGGAGCCTTCAATGTTACAAATTAGTGTTGATATGGAGCTCTCAAAGTTACAAATTAGTGTTGATATGGAGCCCTCAATATTACAATTAGTTGAATTAGTGTTGATATGGAGCTTTCAAAGTTACAAATTAGTGTTGATATGGAGCCCTTAATGTTACAAATTAGTATTGATATGGAGCTCTCAATGTTACAAATTAGTGTTTATATGGAGCTCTCAATGTTACAAATTAGCGTTGATATGGAGCCTTCAATATTACAAATTAGTGTTGATATGGAGCTCTCAAAGTTACAATTTAATGTTGATATGGAGCTCTCAAAGTTACAAATTAATGTTGATATGGAGCTCTCAAAGTTACAAATTAGTGTTGATATGGAGCTCTCAAAGTTTCAAATTAATGTTGATATGGAGCTCTCAAAGTTTCAAATTAATGTTGATAAGGAGCTCTCAAAGTTTCAAAGTAATGTTGATATGGAGCCCTCAGTGTTACAAATTAATGTTGATATGGAGCACAGAAAAAACAAGGTAATTAACTATGTTTCCTTTGTAAGCTTAGGGATTCTAATTTGTATTCGAGCACCGTGCGCCTTCCAGAGAGAAGTTCAGATGCAATAAATGCTTTCGTTAAGTTACTATTCGGTTGCATGCCCTGAACAAAGTTTGTAAATGTCACTAACCATAGATCCAGGCAACAATGATGCACTCAAGCAGGCCAACCGCTACAGCAGCAAAGGCAGCTATGTACCAGTCAACCAGTTGGAACAAATACATTCCTCCCTGTCAAAAGTCAGGTGGTATGACTTATTCAAAGAAATTGTAACATTCTAACTACATTCTGTCTGAAGACATACTGCTGCTATGACTTGTCACACTACACCAGGCCTGCACAACTCAAAATGTAGGGCGGGCTGTAATACTTTATGAACAACTTTTGCGTACCAAAAGAAAACCTTTGCATCTCTTGATGAAAGGAAAAATGGGGGGGGGGGGGAGGCTATAAAGAAAATGATATAAATAAAGAATATTTTGTTGCTTCACGGGCCGCAAAATGAGGGCGCATGTTGTGCAGGCCAGCATTTAAACAGGGGATTGCATCTCAAAATGTAGGGCGGGCTGTAATACTTTATGAACAACTTTTGCGTACCAAAAGAAAACCTTTGCATCTCTTGATGAAAGGAAAAATGGGGGGGGGGGAAGCTATAAAGAAAATGATATAAATAAAGAATATTTTGTTGCTTCACGGGCCGCAAAATGAGTGCGCATGTTGTGCAGGCCAGCATCTAAACAGGGGATTGCAAACTTGTTTATGTAATTTTTTTAATGCCTGTACAAACTTCGGGCTCACCATTAACACAAAAAACTGAGGTCATATACCAACCAGCTCCTCGAAGCCCTTATGTTGAGCCCAACATCCAAGTATATGGCGAAAGACTTAAGGTGGTTAAAGGCTTTTCCCATCTCGGCAGCACACTGTCCCAAAAACACAACCAGCCATGACGAGGTAAACCTCCGTATTGCCAGAGCCAGTGCCACCTATGGAAGATTTACTAAGAACGTATGGACCAGGAGATGTATCAGCACTCAAACTAAACTGAAAGTATATCAGTCGGCAGCTCTCCCTACGCTTCCCTATGCCTGCGACAACGTGGACGGTCTACCAACGCCATGCAAGAATGCTGAACCACTTTCATACAACAAGGCTTTGAAAAATCCTCAACATTAAATGGCAGGACAGGGTCCCAGACACTGAGGTGCTCACACGGGCAGGTCTCCCCCAGCATCTTCACAATCTTGATGAAATCCCTGCTTCGCTGTGCGGGACATGTTGTGAGAATGTCAGATGACCGTCTGCCCAAAAGAATTTTCTATGGTGAGCTTGAACAAGGAAGTCAAGGCTGTCTGCTGGCGGACACAAAACACGTTTTAAAGACAACATAAAAGCCTCACTGAAAGCGTTCAACATAAACCCAGAAACGTGGGAGGAACAAGTAAAGGATCGAACTTCATGGCGCTCCACTTTGCACAGGAGCTCCAAGCAACATGAAGTAAGCAGACCAGCGACTATTTTATCTTATGCTCAGAGGCATCACAAGAATTGATTCCACTCAGTGTGGTTTTCACATGGCATGGTGTCATCCCATCCTGAATCACCCATGGATCTCCTCCAAGTCAGCCTGCTCTAGTGATAGGTGCCTGAATCACCCATGGATCTCCTCCAAGTCAGCCTGCTCTGTGGCCCATGGATCTCCTCAAAGTCACCCTGCTCTGTGGCCCATGGATCTCCTCCAAGTCAGCCTGCTCTGTGGTCCATGGATCTCGTCCAAATCACCCTGCTCTGTGGCCTATGGATCTCCTCCAAGTCAGCCTGCTCTAGTGACAGGTGCCATAATCGCCAATGGATCTCCTCCAAGTCAGCCTGCTCTGTGGCCCACGGATCTCCTCCAAGTCACCCTGCTCTGTGGCCCATGGATCTCCTCCAAGTCATGCTGCTCTGTGGCCCACGGATCTCCTCCAAGTCACCGTTCTCTGTGGCCCATGGATCTCCTCCAAGTCAGCCTGCTCTGTGACCCATGGATCTCCTCCAAGTCAGCCTGCTCTGTGACCCATGGATCTCCTCCAAGTCACCCTGCTCTGTGGCCCATGGATCTCCTCCAAGTCACCCTGCTCTGTGGCCCATGGATCTCCTCCAAGTCAGCCTGCTCTGTGGCCCATGGATCTCCTCCAAGACAGCCTGTTCTAGTGACAGGTGGCATTCTGCTCTTGCATTAAACTTAGTTGTGTTATAAAACAAATTTAAATAAGCTCTGTCAAATTTTAATTTTCCAATGGTGTCATTCCCCTTTCAGGTTGTCAACCCCATGGTAGGATTTCCTGGATATGGTCCCCACCCCCACAATCCTAGTGATGCTCCTGCTTTCACTGCTTATCCTCAAAACATCAAGAGATGCAAAGGTTTTCAATGATTCTCAAGAGGAGGCAGGCAAAAAGATTCCGCCTTTTTCACCAACCTTTGCCAAGTTTTCACTCAAATTAACATTTTAAAACAAGAATAGAAATCAATATTTGACTCCAAAAACAATATCCAAATTTTCTCTGATTTAAAAAAAGCCAACATTTTGACGTCACTGTAAACAAATGAAACGTCATTTCTATCAAATCTTGAAGTGAATTATTTGTTCAAAGGTATCGGTGTCTTTTTGTCCCATTGTGAGGATTTTATTAATTGATTTTTATCAAAATAAATTTAGTACTTTTATATTTATAGTTGAATTCTCCATATACATAGATTCAATAAACCATTTTGAAAATAAAAAGTCTATGATTTTCTTCCTTTCAAATCACAGTTGTCGGCAGTAATATTTTGGGGTAGTGACTAAAAATGTTTGCAGATCCCTGATCTAAACAGAAAAAATATGGCAAAAATTGTAAGTCTACCTGGGGGCTAGTTTAACGTTTATTATATTTAAAAGATGGTTTTCTGTACATTTACTTACTCTAGCAGCAAATGGTAGTCCAATAAGGAATTGTAATGAACAATATCCCAATTTCACTGCTATGTTGTATTTAGTGACGAATTTTGGCCAAATATCATAGATGCTGGTCAAAACTATTTCTACAAAAACAAACTGGCAAAAAAAGTGAACATTTTATTTTTACAATTCCTGAATTCTAAAATAGATTCATAAATAAGAAAAAAAATAAAGCACCTCAAAGCACTTTTATAACTTTTAACATCCAGCTTTTTAGCGCTACATTTTTAATATGTGCACCGGTATTGAGAATTTGTACATTGATTTATAGAATTTACAGAGGAATGACTGACAAAATCATTTTTCAATTTAAATTATTTGAAGAACTCCAATTTTTTTAAAAATTAAACGTTATTTTATTATTGTTTGTTGTACAGTATGTATTTATGTTATTTCATATATTTATTTATACTTATCATTTTATCAAAAACAGAGAAGTAACATTACCAGTATCTCACTTCAAAAAAGTTACCTGTGAATCTAAAGCAACAGTAAACAACATGAGGAAAAACAGCACACCCCACAATTGTGGTACTGGGAGATAAGCAATGGCTTCAGGGTAGACAACAAAGGCTAATCCTGCCCCTGACAATAGAAACAAACACTTTTAATGACATGAAAAAAAAACACATCAGGTTCAGGAAATCACGTTGTTTATTATTGTTATACTGTTAATTTTTTATTTGGCAAAAATATTACAGTTATAAAAAAATGTTTTTTTGCAGGTCTAAATTATTCAATTATTTATTTTTCAAATAAAAACCTCTTATTAATCAATATGTTTTTTTTGAAATACCGGTACCTGTTTCCGAGAAATTGGCAACTGGAACATCGAGATTATAAGCCATGTGACCAAGAACTGTGAAGATAGCAAATCCAGCAAACACACTGGTGCCCTCACACAAGAATGTCAACATTATAGAATCTCTGGAAAATAAAAAAGGAATGTTTTCAGTTTTTCAGGTTGTTTTTTTTAAAAATATTTTTCAAATTTCAACTACCGGTACTGATAGTAAAATTTGATGCAAGAAACAAGTATACCCTACCTCATACAATTGTTATTAAATTTGTTGTAGCTGGCCATTGTTACCAGCCCGCCCCAGATTGGTCCCAGTGAGTAGAAGACTTGTAGACTTGCTTCCAGCCACGTCTGCACTTGCATCAATTTACTGGACAAGTCAAGATTGCAAAATTTTTTTACTTAACTTTTTATAATTTCAATACAACATTTTCGTTAGCAGAATGTCTCCATAGAACACACCAATTATCATCGGTAAATTATCAATGTTTTAATGACTGTATATAATACACTGACTTGTGTTCCTATCTCCAAGAAGTAATATCACATCATTCTTCCTCCTGTTCTAACCTCCTGTGTACATTAACTACCTGTGCCGGTACTCTTAAGTAATGGTAATGAAAGACTGCAGTTATAATTAACAGTACCGGGTACCAGGTACCTGAAGTCTGGGCTGATGTAGAACAAAACACCATCTACTGCACCTGGTAAAGTGGCACCTTTGATGATGAGGACTGTGATTAGAATGTATGGCAAAGTGGCTGTGACGTAGACAACCTTGATTTATAGAAAGTATTATTATTTTTACCCGCTGCTTTCAAACAATGAAAAAATTTCTTTAAAATATATTTCAAATGAAGCTTATGTTAACATAGCTGTGGCACTTAACGTTGATATCAGAGCCCTAGAAGCTACCATTAATGTCAGAGTCCGATCAGATGTTAACGGTAGCTTCTAGGGCTCTTATATTAAGGGTGGCGGCACCTAATATTTAATATGAGTCTGAGGACATGTAGGATTCTTCACATGCTTGGATAAAAATTACAAATCACTAAGCAAATATATTCCTTGAGGCATTATAAGATTTGAGTTTCAAAATGTTTCAGAGTGACTCTTTAGGGTCCCAAATCTCTATATATGCCTACCAGAAAAATTAAAAGTCAGCTATATTCAAATTCTATTTCCGTATTCAATACTTGTTGAGGAAATTCAAAGTGTTTGTGTGTGAGTAAAAAAAAGGTGGGGCACCTTGAGTAACAAAAAATTGTCATTTTGAGAAAAATTGAGTGTTCCTTCCTGATATTGATTAAGGAATCCAACTCAAAGATAACTAAGTATTACCTTTCCTACAGACTTGACTCCTCTGCTGAGGCATATGAACACCAGCAGACAAGATATTAATAGGGCCAAAGTGGTGTGCCAAGGGAGACCATCCATATCCTCAATTCCAGGAGAGAGTTGAAGGACATTATTTCTAAATCCAAAAAAAAATTTTTTAAAAAATAAATAAAAGAATAATTTAAAAGATACTAATGATAATTAGGTGATCTTCAACCACATCCTTTAACTATTGAAAAATAACAGCAAAGTGTTACGCAGTATTAATAAAAATAAAAAACACCCAAATTAATTTTAAGTATAACTTCCATACATGAGAATCTATGATTAAATTAATAACAAAATAGAGTATAGACCCTTGAATTAAATAAGGTATATAACAGTTTTCCTGCACGCTGCGGAGATATTGAGATATTGCTTCCATTGAGAGCCTCCCCATGTGGTGGATAGGGGAGGCCACGCTAAAAGCAGAAATAAAAAAAAAAAGGGTAGGCTACGCTGGGCGTGATACTTAGAAAGAATGCCAAAGCCAAAGGACAGAGGAGTGAAGAGGGTGTACCACCAAAACCCCAGAGTAAAACGGCTCAAAGGCAGACCTAGGCCTAGATGGATGGATGATGTGGGAAAAGATCTACAGCAGCTGGGAATCCAAGCATGGAAAAGCAAATAATTCTTATGATTAGTCAGGTCTGTGTGGAAGGAAGTGGTGAGGCAGGCCAAAGCCCTACATGGATGGATGGATACAATGTCAATGTAACTGTTAGTTGATTTATTAGCTTCTCCGCGATTTTGTATTAAAGTAATATATTTTTTTTTAAAATAAATGTGGCAGCACTTAATCACGTCTGGTGTAAACATTATTTGAGATACAGGCAAAACAAAAAAACTCACATCCAAAATTCTTCACTTGCTGGTCTGATTCCAATCACATGATTAACAGTGATATTGATTGCCTGGTAGTCCTGCTTATCGCCCTGACCACTTGCGTTAAAAGAAATGTTGACAGATTCGTTTCTGGTGACACGACTTCCCTGTGGAACACACAGTGGGGTGTTCCAATCTTGTCCACACAGTGTCCAAGGCAACGGAGATTTGAAGGAGTTGGCCAAGTATATTGAGATCCAGGCAATAGGAATCACGTAGTACCACGAACTTATAAAACCGGCAACAATCTGGCCAATGCCTATACCTGTGGAAACGATCAAACTATATGAAAAAAATCAAACACTTGCCGCTTTCGAAGAGATTCAGACTTTTAAGTTGAAATATTATTGCCAAGTTTGCAACAAACGCATCAAAACGAAAAATACTCTTCAGTGCAAAATACTTCATATTTATTTATGCAGTCATTAATTGTTTATATTTAAACATCAAGTTAAAAGGAGATATTCACGGAATGATTCGGTGAGATGGTAAATAAAATAAAGGCCATCAAGTTAAAGAAGAAGACTCTAATAGCTTTAAATACAAACTGCACAATCAAAGGAGGAAAGTTTATCTTATTATTTACGGCTAAATAGATAACAACCTCACTTTGAAATTTTAAAACACAGAGGACAGATACATTTCTGTCCATCTGTCTTATCTTCTCTTCCTGCACACACTCTATCCACCCATGTGCCATTCTCCCCTCTTCCTCCTCTGTATCTGCTCCCTCTCTAACCACTCTCTCTCTCTTCACTGTCTATAGCCTTTCTCTTTCCTTCTTTCTCCCCTATGTACTCACTCCCTCTCTATCCCCTCTTCATTCGCTCCTCTCTCTCCCTATATCTCACCCCTCTCTATTCCCTCTTTCTCTTCCCCTCTCTCCCAAGATCAAGAGGGAGGGAGGGGAAAATTCCAATTTTTTTCTCCTGCCGTTTGATACCTTTAAAGAGTGGGCAAATATTCCAGACGTGGAAGGCACCCCTGGACATGAACTGCCCCATGGCTACTTCCATGAAATATAGTGGCAGACCACACACGGCCAGGCAGATGACAAACGGTATTAAGAATGCTCCTGAAACACATAGAGAACATGTCACATAGAGAGCATGTCACATAGAGAACATGTCACATAGAGAGCATGTCACATAGAGAACATGTCACATATAGAACATGTCGTATAGAGAACATGTCACACAGAGAACATGTCACATAGAGATCATGTCACATAGAGAACATTTCACATAGAGATCATTTCACAATGAGCACATTTCAAATGGAGAACATTTCAAATGGAGAACATTTCACATAGAGAACATTTCACATAGAGAACATTTCACATAGAGAGCATTTCACAATGAGAACCTTTCACATAGAGAACATTTCACATAGAGAACATGTCACACAGAGAACATTTCACATACAAGAGGCAAAGATAAACTATGCTGTGCAAATGCTTGGACTGATGTGCATTGTGTCTGTGTACAAAATACTTTGTGTACTACCTTGAAATGATGTCAATATTTGCTATTATGATGTGATCTTCTACATTCTTCTTGAAAGAGTGTAGCTAGTGAGTGTATGGCTAGTGAGTGTATAGCTAGTGAGTGTATAGCTAGTGAGTGTATGGCTAGTGAGTGTATAGCTAGTGAGTGTATAACTAGTGAGCGTATAACCATTTAGTGTATAGCTAGTGAGTGTATTACTAGTGAGTGTATTACTAGTGAGTGTATAACTAGTGAGTGTACAGCTAATGAGTGTATAGCTAGTGAGTGTATAACTAGTGAGTGTATAACTAGTGAGTGTATAACTAGTGAGTGTTTAACTAGTGAGTGTATAACTAGTGAGTGTATAACTAGTGAGTGTATAACTAGTGAGTGTATAGCTAGTGAGTGTATAACTAGTGAGTGTATAACTAGTGAGTATATAGCTAGTGAGTGTATTACTAGTGAGTGTATAACTAGTGAGTGTATAACTTGGGAGTGTATAACTAGTGAGTGTAGAGCCAGTGAGTGTATAACTAATGAATGTACAGCCAGTGAGTGTATAACTAGTGAGTGTACAGCCAGTGAGTGTATAAGTAGTGAGTTGACAGCCAGTGAGTGTATAACTGGTGAGTGTATAGCCAGTGAGTGTACAGCTAGTGAGTGTACAGCCAGTGAGTGTATAACTAGTGAGTGTGCAGCCAGTGAGTGTATAACTAGTGAGTGTACAGCCAGTGAGTTTATAACTAGTGAGTGTACAGCCAGTGAGTGTACAGCCAGTGACCTGACCTCCGCCATTTCGAATGCACACGTAAGGAAACCTCCAGACGTTGCCCAGTCCCACACAGTAGCCGACCATGGACAGGACATATTCTGTTTTCCTGGACCACGTGTGCCTGACCACGTGGTCTGGGTCGTGTGATTTCATCTTTTGGTCGAGCACCATGTCAAGAGAATACAGGTCATCAGCCGGCCCATCCCGTCCCTCATCTGCGGCGTCAGTTGTCACACAGGCCAGCAATGTCTGCTGCTGGTTGGCATGGACCATTTTTCTATAAGTCTTTCCCGGTTGAGTACACAAACTTCTGAAATCTTTCCTGGGGAGACACACAAAAACATCATGAAATCAGTGTTTCTTTCTGAAATTTTCCCCCGGGGGAGCACTTCCGATTTTCGTGGGGGGGGGGGGGCCCTTCGGTTGATTTATTGTTGGACATATTTTTGCCTCAAGGGTAGGGGGGGGCACTTCCCCTCGGAGATATAGCTGAAAGAAACCCTGCATGAAATGTAAATGTTTACATGCAACTAAACTGTCAAGCCACGATTGAGTGTGTCAGATGAAAAAGTTATAGACCAACTAGTTAGCATCAGCTCGTTTGTTTTTTTTTCCCATGAGTTCATGTATTTCGCATCTTATTTATTGCCACGCTCCTCATAAACAAATATATTTTTTTTTACTTTTGTTTGTAATAAAATTGAAAAATTAAATGAATGTGAACTTCCCCTGACCAAATTTCATGATGACGTGGCAATCGTTATTCTATTCATTTAATCATTAACATTTTCTCCACCCAAAGCTGATCATCGTGTCCTTGTTGAACTATTTAACCTGCCAACACATTCACTCTCTGGTCAAACACATTCACTCTCTGGTCAAACACATTCAGTCCTTGGTCAAACCCATTCAATCTCTGATGAAACACATTCACTCTCTGGTAAAACACATTTAATCTCTGGTCAAACACATTCAATCTCTGGTCAAAGACATTCAATCCCTGGTAAAACACATTCAATCCCTAGTAAAACACATTCAATCTCTGGTCAAACTCATTCCATCCCTAGTAAAACACATTCACTCTCTGGTCAAACACATTCAATCCCTGGTCAAACACATTCACTCTCTTGTCAAACACATTCAATCTCTGGTCAAACACATTCACTCTCTTGTCAAACACATTCAATCTCTGGTCAAACACATTCACTCTCTTGTCAAACACATTCATTTTTTCTCCATCCAGGTTCCAGAAATGATACTTTTTCCACATGAAGATAACATGAAGGTGTCTTTCTGTCATCAAGATGCTAGGAAGGTGGCTTAATACCATCAAGATAGCAAAAAGGTGGTCAGAGGCGTAACTGAGTTTTTCACGCCCTTGGCTAATTTATTTTTTTGGCGCCATTGATTAGAGATTATTAGAGATCTAGCGGCGCCCTTTTGAACTGGCTCTGGGCGGCGCCCTTGGCAACTGCCCCAATGCCAAGCCGTTGTTACGCCACTGCAGGTGGTTTTCTCCGAGTGAATATAAGGATGTAAGGATATAAGGATGCTATAAGGTATTCAAACTCCTTAAATGTGTGTGGTAGACACAAGAATGAAGCTTAGTTGAGTGCTACCAAGAGGGAGCCAATATTTGTGCCATTCTCTACTCCCTCGGCCCTAACCCCCAACAGCAACTGCGGTTAGTCGAAAATGCCAGCGTCAATGTATAGGAAATATCTGCACAATAGGATAGGATTCCTAACTTGCAACATTTGGGATGTTCAAAAACCTGCCCAGTTTGGGTTGATCCCAAACCTGCAAAATTAGGGATGATCCCTAACCTGCACAATTTGAGATGATCCCAAAACTTGAAAGAATTAATATATATTTTTTAAATCTCTGGTCAAATAGATTATCCCAATCTAATAGATTGTAAATTAAAAGCTAATACCAAAAAAAAATTGTGAAAATATCCTTTAAAAATCTTTTGATCGTTATTTTTTCAGATATTCACATAAGATTTATTCCAGAGCTTATTTAGTTTTAACAGGTACTCTATACCGGAGCTTAGTTTTATCAGGTATAAATGATGGTCTACCACCAAGCCTTACCTTACTCGGGATAACTATATGTGTCATTTGTAAACAGTAGGTGTCTGTAAACAAAATGATGTGATACCAACAGTAGGTGTCTGTAAACAAAATGATGTGATACCAGCAGTAGGTGTCTGTAAACAAAATGATGTGATACCAACAGTAGGTGTCTGTAAACAAAATGATGTGATACCAACAGTAGATGTCTGTAAACAAAATGATGTGATACCAACAGTAGGTGTCTGTAAACAAAATGATGTGATACCAACAGTAGATGTCTGTAAACAAAATGATGTGATACCGTACTTACCATGTACATATAAAATAATATAGAGAAATACTTACCGATCGACTTGTAATTATAATATTTGACCAGCCAAAATAAACAGGAAAGCAGGCCAGGACTCTAAAAATCCACAAGAAATAACACCTAGATCCAGTGATAAGTCAGTTTGGGGCATCGTGCCCAGAATAAAGGCGCCATCTTTCTTAGGCTAAAACTCAGTTGTATCACCATATTTCACAACGGCCTAGGGTTTCCCTAGGACCAGTCTTTATTTCAAATCAACCAACTCTCTCCTAGTTCTTCCCCTAGTCGAGTGAAGCACCTCGGTCTTCACCTCGTGCCCCGTGAAAGATGGCCGCCTGATTAATTCACGGTCCTGTATATTTATACGGTTGTTAAAAATCAAAAGACCAACGGGAGTGGAAACAAAGTGATAATTGATATGTATGTGTCTGCATGTCATGGGATGGATCTGAAGTAAAGAACATCAATGAAGGTGGAGGAAGATGTGGGGGTGGGGGGTAGAAGATAGGTTAGAGGAAAGACAAAGTAGAAAAGGGACGGCGAATGGTTTGGTATAAAAGGAAATGAGCAAAACAAATTATGAGAAAACCTGAAAAAGGAAGGCAACAAAACAACGAACGTGTCGGCAGGAAGCCTTCGTCAGCGAACAAACAGCAGAATTAAATAAAACATAGCACTTAGCTGAAAAGTGGTATTCGCAAGAGTAGCAAGATGGTTTTGAATCGTTATAAAAGGAGCACCTCTGTGAAGGTTTTGGGTGGAGCATAAATCAGTGTTTAGACTTTAAACTTAGTTTCTTTTATTATTCTCATACGCACGTTGTCAGTGGCGAACCTAGGAGGGTAAAGTGGTGACCGTCAGGAAATTAACAACACTGCAAAGACCCACCTCGTTTACTTCAGTTACACTTCTTCATCGTTATAATTTAAAAATTCAGTAGCCGATGTTTCTCATGTATAGTCTGATGTAGGCATGGTTTCTCATGTATAGTCTGATGTAGGCATGGTTTCTCATGTATAGTCTGATGTAGGCATGGTTTCTCATTTATAGTCTGATATAGGCATGGTTTCTCATGTATAGTCTGATGTAGGCATGGTTTCTCATTTATAGTCTGATATAGGCATGGTTTCTCATGTATAGTCTGATGTAGGCATGGTTTCTCATTTATAGTCTGATGTAGGCATGGTTTCTCATGTATAGTCTGATGTAGGCATGGTTTCTCATTTATAGTCTGATGTAGGCATGGTTTCTCATGTATAGTCTGATGTAGGCATGGTTTCTCATGTATAGTCTGATGTAGGCATGGTTTCTCATTTATAGTCTGATATAGGCATGGTTTCTCATGTATAGTCTGATGTAGGCATGGTTTCTCATTTATAGTCTGATATAGGCATGGTTTCTCATGTATAGTCTGATGTAAGCATGGTTTCTCATGTATAGTTTGATGTAGGCATGCTTTCTGTATAGTCTGATGTAGGCATGGTTTCTCATGTATAGTCTGATGAAGCCATGGTTTCTCATGTATAGTCTGATGTAGGCATGGTTTCTCATGTATAGTCTGATGTAGCCATGGTTTCTCATGTATAGTCTGATGTAGCCACGACGAATAGTCTAACGTAGCCATGTTGATTGTTCCTCATACATCGTCTGATTTAGCCATGGTTTACAGTAGTATTATAAAATGGCTTTCCAGGGGTGACCCATTGGTTTGTAACCCGTTTAAGGACATTTCCGTGTGTACAACTACCCAGTGATGTGATTTTGATAAAACAAGAATATTATAATTTATGGAAACTTAAAATGGAGGAAACAGTTGGAATAGGATGTTTTCTTTTCCTCTCACCACAAACCCTTTAATTACCTTAGACCAAGGGTTCTTAATCTTCTTGCAGCGCCACAAACCCAGTCCATTTCAAACCACTTCCTGCACCCTGTTCTCGCTTTCAAAACATATCTCACGTCCTCAAAACGATACAAAAATGCTAACAAAATTCTAATAAACCTAATTTTCGGGGTCTTCCCGCACTCCTTGACACTGCCTCCCACATACCCTAGGAAGCGGGACCCCTTGGTTAAGAACTCCTAATTAAGAACCCTTGCCCTACTGCCTCAGACGTGTACGTAAATGAACTACGCATAAATACAGACATATGTTTCATACATACTAAATAAATCAACAAAACAAAGGGCACATTGTAGCATTCCTGGATCATTGCCAAAAATGTAAAAAAAAAAAATAAAAAAAAAAAAATTAAAAATGATTAAATTTTCATCTTTGATAAACCTTACGTAATTAATCGGTTTACTTTTTTCATACGAAAATATCTCGCATAATTTAAATTCTCACCACTTCTAATAAATGCAAAACGTTTTTTGAAACAGTTTGTGCGCAAACATGTATCTGTTCGTCTGGGGTTTGAAACACTTTGTGACCATATCTACGCACCCATATATTAAATGTTTTGTTTTTGTGACGCTCATCACCGGTACGTCGTGCCGCCATCTTTAACATAATATTTTTTGTTACTAAAAGGGAAGTTAACAAATTTTTAATTGTTTAATCACAGATAATAATTGTCTTTTAAAAAAAAAATGTATTTAATAGATTGTTTATATCCCAGAGCTTAGGCGTGATGGTAAACTAGTTCAGTGCTCCTCTCGGGGTGCTCCAACAGGTTATCCACCCCGAGAAGGGGTCGTCCATTAATTACGTCAGCAATTTTTACACAATTTTTGACCCCCCTCCCCCCTGTCAACAAATGTCA